TATTACAATTTCTGGATGTTCCTGGTTGATTACAATCTCTAGAGGTTCCTGATTGATCATAATCTCTAGAGGTTCCTGGTTGATTATAATCTCTAGAGGTTCCTGGTTGATTATAATCTCTAGAGGTTCCTGGTTGATTAGGGGAACCCGGGGCATAACGGAACGGCGGGGCATAATGGGATATGATCTATAACTTTTTACAGAAGTGCTGTTATGTATTGAAATATTTTGCAATTATATTGCTATTAGATGATCCTTATTGCATGCTGTTATCAGTTGTCATGTTATTTTTAACTGAAAAATGCTATAAATTGTTTAATGCGTTCGCTGCACTCTTCGTGACTCGCTTATAATTTCGTTGATATAGATCAGCATGAGATAACAATAATAAAATTCTATTTTTTATTACCATAAGTAATTTTACGCTATTAAACAATCTTTTCTAGTCACTTTAGTAAAGTATTTCTGCACAGATATTGATTATCAATGATATTTTGTATTTATTTAGTGTAAAGGTACATTTGGGGGCATAACGGGACATAGGCCGTGGGGCATAATGGTACAATAGGTAACCTCTTCTTATTAGTTGACTCGCAAGTGTTATAAGTTAACGGAGCGTGTCTCAACAAAAAATTGAAAATTAACAGCAACATTGAAAGGAACATTGAGCAACAATGAGGATATTACACATATTTGCACCTACTGTTCTTAAAATGTTTCATGTAGATGTGATAATAAGTGCTATCAATAAATTATTATTATTATTAAAATGCAATACTACATTAGTATATTTATTGCGTATTTAAAAAATCATTTTTAATAAGTTTTAAACATTAATGTATAAGAAATATATAAGTTTTGTGAGGAGTCCCATTATGCCCCGCATAAAATGATAATCAGATTAAGTCATGGTTTCAATAAAATAAAAATTTCGTCCTTTTAAACTATTCTTTCACAGTAAAACCATTTTTTTTCTTATAGTAGACATTTCAAAGAATATTTTCGTAAAAAAATAATTCATTTATGTATTTTCATTTTATTTAAAATTAATTTTAACCTTAGCGTTCCCGTTATGCCCTGGGTTCCCCTATAATCTCTAAAGGTTCCTGGTTGATTATAATCTCTAAAGGTTCCTGGTTGATTATAATCTCTAGAGGTTCCTGGTTGATTATAATCTCTAGAGGTCTCTGGTTGATCTACCGATTGAATTGTAGATGTTGTGGCTAACATTTCAGGACAATTTCCTTCGTTCGTATCCTGATTATGAATCTCATATTCTTCATCTACTTCATCTACTCCAAGCGCAATGTCCGTAGGATCAGCTGGCAAAAAATCAACCTCAGTGAATACATTCATGTCAGTTGGCCAAGCACCACTCTTTCTGAATCCATTAATTGCTGTTGACATGTTTGCAGATTGTACAAATGCTTCACCAAATAAAGTTGCTATTTGAAGGAGTGTGACAACTCGTCCAGGATTGTGTCGTAGCCATTTTCTTACTGCATCTTCGTAGTATTTACTTAATGGTTTAAAAAATGATACGTCCAAGGGCTGAAGACGATGGGAGCAATGTGGTGGAAAACATAATAATATGACATCTTTTTCTCTAGCTAGATCAATTACATCAAGATTTATAGTATGGCTTCTGTGTCCGTCAAGGAGCAGCAATACAGGAGACGTTGACGAAGGTTTTGAGAAATCTATAAATTTCTTAAACCAAGATAAGAAAAGATTTTTATTTATCCATCCGGAAGAATGGACTTCAGCCCATGATCCTGGGGGTAAACCCGTTTGGAACTCCTGCTGCATTCTTTTTCTTGGAAATATTAGCATTGGTGGCATATAATTACCTGCGGCAGATATGCAAACTACCGCTGTGACTGTTTCCCCTCGGTCTGCAGAAGTTATTGCTCCTACCTTATGTAAAATAATAAGTTTAAAAATGAGAATTAAAATAGTTTAAATACCTTTAATACCTACTAGTTCGTCTAACGTCCACTGCAAATTAGAGTTCTAAAAAAATCGAAAAAAATACTGCTTGAAAGTGTTACTTAACTTTATCATGCTTCCTATTTACCTGTCGACGACCTTTACAGGCCACAATTCGGGATTGTTGCTTTGGATTGACCGTAACACCCGTCTCATCAACATTAAATATTCTATCTGCTGTTATATTTCTTGTTTGAACGATACTGGTTAATAGATCAAAATATTTTTTAACTGAAACTTTATTGAAGCCCATGGCTCTAGCAGCAGATGTGGCTTCAGGTTTTCTCAAGGAAATGTTTGAATGACGTTGCATAAAACCGTGTAACCAATCTACACCAGCTAATTGAGTTTCCTTATTGAAGGAATTATGTAAGTTATTTTTTTCCGCTAGTTGAAAAGCCAGGGATCTCACTTCCATAGAAGTTAGGCCAAAAAGTCTCTGCTCCATGCTAATTATATAATTACAAAGCTCCTTTTCCTGTTCTTTTGTGAATACTGTTTTGAAAGCACCTGCTTTTGTAACTTTAACCATTTTGTCAGAACTGTTTTTCATTTTCTGAACATATCGTTCCAAAGTCGTTTTGGGAACTCTAAATATACTAGAAGCCTTGCGATAACCCATATTTCCTTCAATAATTGCAGATACAGCATCATTCATTACATCTTTATCCCATTTCTGCCTCTCGGTTTTTCGTACATATTTTCGAACCATCTACAGAAATAACAATAGATATTATAATTAACTAATAAAATTAATATAATATAGCAGAAATCATTATGTACATACCTTTCAATGTTGCTGTTAATTTTCAGTTTCTTTCAGTTCAATTTCTCTTGTTGAAACACGCTCCCTTAACCTAACACTTGCAAGTCACCTAATAAGAAAAGGTTAGAGAGGTGCGCTGCGCGCACCTATTGTACCGTTATGCCCCACGGCCTAATGTCCCGTTATGCCCCCAAATGTACCTTTACACTAAATAAATACAAAATATCATTGATAATCAATATCTGTGCAGAAATACTTTACTAAAGTGACTAGAAAAGATTGTTTAATAGCGTAAAATTACTTATGGTAATAAAAAATAGAATTTTATCATTGTTGCCTCATGTTGATCTATCAACAAAATTATAAGCGAGTCACGGAGAGTGCAGCGAACGCATTAAAAAATTTATAGCATTTTTCAGTTAAAAATAACATGACAACTGATAACAGCATGCGATAAGGATCATCTAATAGCAATAATTGCAAAATATTTCAATACATAACAGCACTTCTGTAAAAAGTTATAGATCATATCCCATTATGCCCCGCCGTTCCGTTATGCCCCAGGTTCCCCTACATTTTACAAAATAAATTATAAGAAATTGTAAAAATATAATAATAAATAACAAAAATATAAAAAAAACTATTATAGTAAAGATAAAAGAACTGCCAATTGGAATCGGCGAAGGCATGGTGGACAGCAGTGCCGGTTTTAGCAACATTGGCGCCCTGAGCAAGATTATCGTGGCGCCCATTCAAATTCAAGAGCTCGAAATTCTTGAGAAAGAAAAGTCAAGGTGATAATATCGAACGACGAACTCCATCTTGTTTTTATATTTTAGGGAATCTTTCTCACTCTCAAACTAGGTGAAACTAGGGTGTGTGCGAAGCTGGCATCTCATTTCGTGGAAAATCACTAATTGTAGAGAGTTCTGACTTCCTTTCTAATAGTTCTAGAGTTCCTGATACATTAAACACATACAGTTCTGGCTTTTAAGACCAAAAAATTGAAAAGTGCAAACTGATTTGCTAAAACTTCACGCTGCAAATCACTTTGTCCCCGGATAATTTCCTAATTATTTCTGCTAGAATTTTTATCGCATGAGAATTCTACAATAGTTCTAGAAAGAGTTTTGGCGAAAAAACATAGTTTTTATAATTTAAAAAATTTTTATCACTTTACAAATATATCCTCATGGAGACAAAGGTGATTTGCTGTCCGAAATAACAGAGTTCTGACTTTCTACAAATAGTTGTCGCATAGTTCCGAACATATTTAAACATTTTCTACAGTGTTCTATACAGTAGAACCGATAAATAATTTTTTTTAAAATTAATACTGTCCGAAAAATGTTTAAGGCAGATAGAGATAACTTGCTCTTCGAAAGGACAGAGTTCTGGCTTTATTAAAATAGTTCTCGTGTAGTTCCGAACATATTTTAGTATTTTTTAAATAGTTCTATGCAGTGGAATCGATAAATAATTTTTTTAAAAATTAATACTGCCTGAGAACTGTCTTTCAGACAGATAGAGATGATTTGCTGTCCGAAATGACGGAGTTCTGGCTTTATACAAATAGTTTTCGCGTAGTTCCGAACATATTTCAGTATATTCTAAACTAAACAGTTCTATGCAGTGGAAGACTCAAAGTTCTGCATTCTGACTAGCATTTATATGATTCCGTTAATAAGAGAAAAATTTCACGATTATATTTCCATTAATAAACGAAAAACTTGAAAATTATACATTTCAACATCGACACCGCACAATAAACACAACTGAGGTAACAATTTATCGAGACACAATCGAGACACAATCGAGACACATCGTTTTGAAGAAGCAATCGTCGCAATGAAAAAGTAATTTCACTCTCGGTATCTATCGCGAGTATTCAGCGATCACGCGGCGATATCGTTCGCTAATTATTCGCAGAAAACGATCAAAGTTTCTTCCCGTACTTGTCGCGAACACGTAAAGAAACAATACGATATGCGAAGCGGCGCGGGCCACTAACTCGGTTCGACTTTGCCGCGTAAACAATGCCGAGCGCCGTTGACCGAGCACGAATTCCAAGAAATGATGTACGCGCCGTAGTAAACAGCTCGGTCTCGAGCGCCGGTTACAATGACGTAGCACCGTGAACACTTTTTTCGAAAACAGTCTATTGTGCCGAATCAGTCGGCGCGAGTGAGTCGAGCGAGGCGGATGTTCCGCGTGTCGTCGCGTCGCCCCTCGTAACGCGATTACTTTCTACGAGAATCTCGATCATTCTACGCAACGCGATCGTCTCGTACGAGAGTTTTAACATCTATCCATCGCGTTTAAGGAATTGTCGCGATCCGTAATCACATCGGTGATTAATAACGAAAACTTATAACATATCGATCGCTTGCCAAGACATAATCTCTCCAACAATTAAACGTATAAAAGTGCGCGTATAACCTAAAGTTTTAATTTTCCTCGCGTTCGGGAGTGCCGTTTTACTCGATCGAATTAAAGACTCTTCAAAGCCCATTTGAACAAGTATTTGTGAAATGTCCGTTCCTGTCGATGGCCACACTTTACAGATTCGGCAGTTTTTCGACTAAAAAACTCGCCGACTCGAAGTGGAGGCGAACTTGACGGAACAAAATGAATACGTTCACATCGACTTTGTAAACGGGAGTGTAAAATCGCGCGAACGATTTTTGTGTTCTCGCGAGTGTCCTGGAGGATAATCTGAGAGGATGAGGTGGCCTGGGGATGGCATCAGGCGCCGGCGGAGCTACTTTATGGTGAGTGTTAATTTTTCATTTTGTGCCAAATTAATCTTTTCTCCGGTGTATTATCGAGTCGTTTCATTGCGTAAAGAATTACTTAGCGCCAGTAATTAAGTAATGTAGAAAATTGCATGACAGCCATCAGCCGTCGGCCATGCACGATGGCTGTCATGCAATTTTCTACATCGTTTTAGTTCATAATTTCATAAATTCGAAATAATATTTAAAGGACGAGAAGTAATTTGAGATTTTACAAAAGTTTATTCTCTTGAAAATCTCGGCTTTTACGGAACAACTTTCGCGCAATAATCATATAAACATACATATAGTATAACCGAATAAAAAGTTTTATACGCATATAAACTATATCTTGCACTATTTTTAGTTTTCTTGAACGCTATTTTAATAGAAATCTTATATTTTTCTGTTACAGATTCATCGTAGTTAAACTCCGCTGCTGCGCGTCGATTGGTGAGTTAAATAATTTTTTAATGAGGCAACGAATCTACATTTTGTAGATCGTAGATGGTAGATGATAAATCAGTATATCTCGTAGATCCTCTGGGAAAAATTTTGACCGTTTTTTGATGTAGTTAAGCAACTTAACATTTCGGTTATTGCCACTTAAGTGAAAATTATCTTTGCGTTACTGAATATCGTCGACAGAACTAATTGAGAGAATTAATTAGTATTACTTTAATATCTTGGATATAGATAGAACAGCTAATTGTGATTTTTAGTTACGCGGGATAAAATTCGTAAAAGATTAGAGTTACGAACAATCTAAATAATTCGATTACTAATTGTGGGCCTCAAAATGGGTTGCAACTGACTTTTTTTTCCCAGAGTACATTTCGTAGATCGTAGATTGTAGAACATAAATTAGTATATCTCGTAGATCCGTTGCCTCAAAATTGATAGAATACAATATAATTTCGTATTTATTTTTATATATTTACATTAACGAAAGGGAGTGATCGCGATTTTAACTCCGAAGGGTTGGGTGTCCCGTAATTTTCATGCAAAATATGACGAACATTATTAATACATTCGTCGAGCTAATCTCTTGTACTCTATCAATTTTTTATTAACAAATTTATATCAAAATTTATATAATGACGTGAGACAGTATATTTTGTCGAGAACGCTGAAACTTAATATTATTTTCATACATGATTTGAAATAATTGATTAACTGGAATATTCAATTGTCGGCCTATCGTACGGAAAGTCTCTTTTCTCTGGGTCTCACGTCATTTATTTTGTATGTGCACCCCGCGATACACTTTCAAGATGCGTCTCGCATGAATACGTGCACAGTCGCACGCATCTTCGTATTTTTACTGTTGTTTTCGCGGTCGGTTTTCGCGATTGATTTTTCAAAAAAAGTTCAGAAATTATTAATTGTTTGACTTTATTAACATTATAAATTTTAGTTTACCGCGGAATATAATTCAAATATATTAAAATATATATAACGCGAAGTAAATTTTGTTTCCGTATCTATACTTGAATTTTGAATTCGAAGATCGAGTCAACACCTATTCTCGAGCAAATAACGGATGTCGAAATATATTTGATCAGTTTTATACAGTAAATATTTTGAATTAATTTTCTTCTTTAATTAACTTCTCGTGGTCGTGCATTTTTTTTACATGATCGACGCTCACATACAGTTCGAACCGTACGAAATATTTGTCGGTGACAATAATCCGACTATGGAAGGAATTTTCTTCCTTCCTGATGTCTGGTCAAAATGACCAGACTGTAAGGCCAGGAGCAACGAAAGGTATGTCCAATCTGGTCCAACGAAGGGATACGCCGAGTTAGTGGTCAATATTGGCCACTTTGATGTATTATGTGAATGTGTTGTACGATATATGTTGATTTCTTCTTATGTGCAAAAATTCGGGTGGGTTATATTCTTCCCTTCTTTACTTATTCTTGCATATGTGCAAGATTAAAAAGATCCCTATTAAATCGCGCGCGTATAACTCCAAACCTCTTATAAATCGCGTCGCGGTTTTAACGAAAGACTCGTAGGTTTATTAACAAAAAAGGTGAAACGCGGAAAATAAATAATAATCGAAAAATAAATCACTCTTTTGGAATGTCTTAAAAAATGCTTCGACATGAAAATTACTATTTTCGTGTACGTTGCAAAAAATGCTGAGTATTTTACTGTTCTATTCAGAACGGATTAGCCATATTCTAAAAATGATTACCATACAGACTATAACGTATACAATCTATGTGGTGACTTTATCGTTTGCCATTTTTTGTCCAATAAGATAAACTTATTAGATATTTCATAGGTACGAAATCCGCGCTAACCGTTGCGTCGGTATATTCATAGTAAAACACGTGAGAAATCGTGAATAGCCAATTTTCATCACACAGATAAAATATATTACAAATCTATTACAAACTGAATATGAATTAAAACTATAGAACAAATAATTTTTCGCGATAATCGTACGCATCGAATACATTTCAGATGCGTACGATTATCTTAAAAGACAGTCGTTATAAGAGCGAACGAAACAGTAATAGGAGCGAGGGAGATAAGAATAACAGCAAGCGAAGCAGCCTCGAGGATCGGGATTCTCGCTTGCTCGCGTTATGCCCTTTCTACACCTAGGGATGATCCTACACTGAAAAAAATTTCTGGTTGAATATGGACGAATCAGATAATTCCTTTAGGATTTACCAGAATTCCTTTAGAATTTACCAGAATTTCTGTAGGATTACAGGAATTCTGGTAAATCCTAAAGGAATTCTGGTAAATCCTAAAGGAATTATCTGCTTCGTCCATAT